CATTCATTTCCATATCATTCAGTTTTTGCTTCCGTTCTCTTCTATTCGATCTTCTCAACCTTCGGCCTCCAGGCATTCCACTTTCGATTGATGTTACACAGTACCTATATCAGTCAATACAAGTAGCACATACCACAACTCTATTATGAGTAGGAGACAATATTTGGAAAAATATAGTAACTTGTAAGAAATTTGATGAATGTTACATCCTAATGATGACCCATCTCGATTATGTACACAAAAATAAAGCTTTTTATGGTCTAACTTTCTCCTTTGTTCAACAATGATGTATAATGGGCAGAAAAACGATGATGGGATAACCTGGTTCTACGTCCGAAATAAACACGCACATCCACCATCGTCATCAGACAGTTACTATCTCGCAACTTACTTACTTACGCCTGTTACTCCTAATGGAGCATAGGCCGCAGACCAGCATTCTCCAACCCACTCTGTCCTCCACCTTCTTTTCTAGTTCCATTCAATTCTTGTTCATTTTTCTCATGTCCATCTCCATTTCTCGGCGTAATGTGTTCTTTGGTCTTCCTCTTTTCCTTTGGCCTTGAGGATTCCATGTGAGGGCTTGTCTTGTGACGCAGTTGGGTGCTTTCCTCAATGTGTGTCCTATCCACTCCCAGCGCTCCTTCCTAACTTTTCCTCCGCTGGGATCTGGTTTGTTCTTTCCCACAGTACGTTGTTGCTAATAGTGTCCGGTCAATGGATCTGAAGTATTTTGCGTAGACAATTGTTAATAAACACCTGTATTTTCTGGATGATGGCTTTCGTAGTTCTCCAGGTTTCTGCGCCATACAGTAGAACTGTCTTGACATTTGTATTGAAAATCCTGACCTTGGTGTTGGTTGACAGTTGCTTTGAGTTCCAGATGTTCCTCAGTTGTAAATATGCTGCTCTTGCTTAACCGATCCGCACCTTCACATCTGCATCAAATCCACCCTGTACATCTTCCAAATCGTCTCCGTCAATTTTGATTGAATTGGTGCATGCTGTGTTGTATCGGAGAACCTTGCTTTTCCCTTTGTGTATATTGAGACCTACTGCTGCTGAGGCTGCTGCTACACTGGGCGTCTTTTCCTGTATTTGTTGTTGCGTTTGGGATAGAAGGGCCAGATCATCTGCGAAGTCTAGATCGTCCAACTGCATCCTAGATGTCCATTGTATCCCGTGCTTCCCTTCAGACGTTTACGTCTTCATGATCCAGTCAATAACCAGGAGAAAGATAAAGGATGAGAGTAAGCAACCTTGCCTAACACCGGTCTTTACTTCGAACGACTTTGTCAACTGTCCTCCATGCACGATTTTGCAGTGTAATCCATCATATGAACTCTGTATGATATTGACTATCTTCTGAGGCACGCCGTAGTGTCGAAGAAGCTTCCATAGTGTTGTTCTGTTCACGCTATCAAATGCCTTTTCGTAGTCAATGAAGTTGATGTAGAGTGATGAATCCCATCCAATTGACTGTTCCACAATGATCCACAGAGTTGCGATTTGGTCTGTACACGACCCATCCTTACGGAATCCTGCCAGTTGGTCTCGAAGTTGGGTGTCTATGCAGTCCTTCATCCTGTTTAACAATACCCTGTTGAAGACTTTTCCCGGTATTGAGAGAAGAGTGATGCCCCTGTAGTTATCACGCTTGCTGAGATCGCCTTTCTTCGGTATTTTGATCAGAAGTCCTTCTTTCCAGTCTTTTGGTACATGTTCCTCATCCCAAATATTATTGAAGAGAATGTGGAGTATCCTTGCAGTCGCCGCTACGTCTGCTTTCAGTGCCTCTGCTGGAATGTTGTCTGGTCCTGCTGCTTTGCCACTCTTGATTTTTCTGATGGCCACGCTTATCTCTTCAATTGTTGGTGGGCCAACATCGATTGGGAGGTCCGTGGGTGCTGCTTCGATGTTGGATGGGTTCAGTGGGGCTGGTCGATTCAAGAGTTCTTCGAAGTGTTCTACCCACCTGTTTTGTTGCTCTTCAATGTTGGTGATTACCTCGCCTTCCTTGCTTTCCACTGGTCGTTCTGGTTTGCGGCGATTTCCAGAGAGTTTCTTTGTCGTGTCATACAATTGTCTCATGTTTCCTTCTCTTGCAGCCTTTTCCGCCGTCATTGCTAAATCTTCCACATATTTACGTTTGTCGGTTCTGATGCTCCTCTTCACTTGTTTATTTACTTCTGTGTAGTCAGCTTGTGCCTTGGCTTTCTCTGCTCTTGTTCGACTGGTATTGATTGCTGCCTTCTTGTTCCTCCTTTCTTGAATCTTATCCAGTGTATCAACAGTAATCTATTCCTTGTGATGGTGCTTCTTGTGGCCCAGGGCCTCATGACATGTTGAAGTAATTGCCTCTTTGATCCCCTTCCAGTTGCTCTCCACAGTAGTTCCTTCTCCATTGAGTAGATCATGAAAGGCATGGAACTTATTGCTGAGGACTATCTTGAACTTGTTGAGTTTGTTAGTATCCTGAAGAAAGGCCGTATTGAACTTCTGTGATGTTGTCCACCCCGTTGTGCGGTGCTTCTTGAGTTCCAATTTCATCTTGGCGACCAGAAAGTGATGATCTGATGCTATGTCAGCTCCTCTCTTGGTTCTCACGTCTTCTGTAGTCCTCCTGAACTTTTTGTTGATGCAGATATGGTCAATTTGGTTTTGTGTAGTGTGATTCGGCGAAGTCTACGTGGTTTTGTGTATGTGTTTGTGTGGGAATATGGTGCCGCCTATGACCAGTTTATTGAAGGCATATAGGTTTGCAAATCTCTCACCATATTCGTTCCTTTCTCCCAGTCCGTGTCGTCCCATGGTGTCTTCATATCCAGTGTTGTCCGTTCCAACCTTGGCATTTAAATCTCACATCAGAATGGTCAGGTCCTTTGTTGGGCACTTCTCGATGATTGGCTGCAACCTATTGTAGAATTGATCTTTAGCTTCTTCATTGTAGTCGTTGGTAGGCGCATAGCATTGGATGATGTTCATTGAAATGCCCTCTTTCTTTGTTTTGAAGGAGGCTTTGATGATCCTTGGTCCATGAGATTCCCATCCTATAAGTGCATTTTGTGCTTGTTTGGACAGCATCATTGCAACTCCTTGTGTATGTGTGGCATTTTCTTCATCATGGCCGGAGTATAACAGGAACTCTCCTGTAGTTAGTCGTTGTTGTCCAACTTGCGTCCAATGTGTTTCACTGATCCCAAGTACCTCTAGGTTGTATCTTTTCATTTCTACAGCAATTTGGAAGACTATTTCGGTGTCCCACATTGTACGAACATTCCATGTACCTAAATAAGTGGTCGCTCTGGTTGTCAGAAGGGGCATCGGCCTCGTAACTCTCGAAGGAATTCGGCTTTCATCATGAGGCGTCATAGTTCTTCTAAATGAAGACCTTCTGACTCCCAGGGCAGAGTTTAAAAGGTTTGAATAATTTTTTCTGGTTAGCGTTTTTTTAGCGAGTTAGTTTTCTACGGGATGGGGATGCTAACCCCATGCCCAACCCTCCTCCTTTATCCGGGCTTGGGACCGGCAGTAGCCCCCGGAGGGACTCCAGGCGGAGTTTATTGAAATATACATATCGTCTATTCTCATATATAATTAAAGAATTAATTCGCACTAATGAATAACGGAATTAAATAAATCAAATAAGAGAATCTATTTAGAATTTGTATATTTCAGCACTCATTGATTTGTAATAGGCAATCAAGGAGACGAAACAAAGACAGAAGAGTGAAGCGAATTGGAGAGGGTGTATTGGCCAACTCGATTTATTCAAGTATCATTCGACATTTATAATGAAATAAAATTAAGTTACAGACATGTGGTGGGTAAGATAGGAAATATATACAAATACACTTACATAGAATCAGTCAATTTTGATAAGCGAATAATTGAGAAGGTTAAAATGTGACTGAAGAATGGTGAATAAATTGGATTGTCTGGAGGTCAGAATAAGCTATGTGTGCTTAACATAGCAACCGACACTATAGGTTCCGTGTTACATGTCAGTAATATATATCTGAAATCCTCAGGAAACGATTTTTTGATTACTTTCGATCTTTCTGAGTATACTCTTTCAAAATGTACACAGCGAGCTCTTCCCAAACGCATAGCTGAACACAGTCCTTTGTGATTTTTAAAAGGCGAATGAAGAACAATCAATAGTTCAATACTGGAATATCTTGTGAACTTTGGTTACACTGACCCATCAGATATATATTTCAATATCATCTATACAGTTGGATGATTTGATTTAAAAATAGTGCATACAATAACTTGTCCACTGTAGAGGCTGAAGATGCCACAGGTATTCGTTGTTTGACAACGCTTTAACCAGAAACACTTTCTAATATGAATCGTACCCACCAAGTGGAATCAAAATACAGAAGCTAAGGAGGTTTGAAGATATATTTGATAGGCTATCAATATATCAAGGATTGTCTGATCTAATCTGGCTAGCTATTGCAGGGGTTCTTAAGCACGGCGATCCTACACGTAATCTGGTGCGGATGCATGACCGAGCGCCTTCAGCTAGGTGAGTCCATTAAAACCAATGTGGTCGGCATCCAATGTCGAAGACTTACAGAGTTATTTATTTTGGGGATTTATTTACCGCTACAAGGCGTTAGAAATTCATCAGGCTGTAGGACAAAGTAATAGTTGCCAATCTAATGTATATAATTTTAAAAATGAGTAATATTTAATGCTCAATACTGAATGTAAGAGCACAAAAACAAACAAACGAACAAATAAATAAACAATTTATTCATGAAATAATACTGAAATGAAATGAATTCATTACTATTGTATTGTTGTTGTTGTTGTTGTGGTCTTTGGATCAATTATACGAATACATGGTATATACTTGAATTCACCAATGATCATTTGAATAAATAATAATGTATCAAAATTAATGAATGCAATGGCGTAATGTAATACTCTCTCACTCTCTCTCTCTCTCTCTCTCTATATATATATATATATATATATTCGACCGAAATGTACACCATTCATTTCAATTTCAACAGAATCATTCTATTGACCAAGGTATGGGTAATGTAAACTGAATATATTCAAAAAAACGATTGTTGATAATCTGTTACATCACTAATTTATATTGGATATTTTCATTGAGATATATGAATTGATCGTGAGTGAGCAGCCATTTTATTAAGACACGAGACTCAATGTACTGGGTTGGATTCCCAGTAGGTGACTGTCGTGGACGCACACTGCTGATCCGTCTAATTTAGCGACAAAACAGTCGTCTGTCTCGTGTCCTACATTCATTGGTTAGTGATCTCATCAAAGGCTTCAATTAGTGACTTCGATTCAAGCTTGTAATGCATAGTAGTCGATTAATTCACAAATCAAACACTGATGACATTAATGTACTTTCACACTACAATCTGGTGTGCATGCAATTGATATGGCAATAAACAATTTGTCAATCAATAACAATTGTATATGTTACGTGAATATTTTCTCAACTAGATGACATGAATGCGTTATAATGTGGCTTATGATATTTCACTATTGAAAGACTGTAATCAGTGATTGTTATCAGTGCTTTAATGACTGTTTTACAATTTTCAGATAATATCGCACATTTCTGATTATCAATCTTTATAACTGACGTCCAATCACTTCTGTAATAAACATCATGCGTGAAAGTTTTGATATAGTTGTACGAAATGATAAATATACATTGACAGTCAAATTGTTGTACAGTGTTTCAATTATTCTATTGATCGTATGGGTGATGAACATTGTACCAAGTCTTTTTCAATGGAGAATCAATCAAGTCGATCATGATGTAATACCTAAAACAATAGAATTTTCGTGCAATAATATATCTGTTCCAAACGGGTCAGAATCAGATCTTGCTAGTGTATTACACAAAATATATTCCCCTATCAGTAAAACGTCCGTTCAAAAATACCAACTGAGATATAGTCTGGAAGAAAATAGACTTGAGAAATTATATGATTCATTGGGTGTGAATAAGACGGTAAGTCAACTATTAGAAATATTCTTTGATGTTGAATAGACTGACTGTCTTCTAATTTCGATAGAACAATGAGAAGACGGAGTTGATCTGAAAAATGTGATGTATTTGCGCTATACATTTCGAACAATCTGGTCACACATATACTTGTCAAGGCATTTTTATATGAAAATTAATAAAGGTCAATAAAGGTCAAACAAACAAATAAAAGTACAACTAAAATAACTAAGGGGGGAGAAAGAATAAGAAATTGTCGCGTTATCCTAGGCCATAGAATGACTTAAGGATTACCAAGGTAAATTCAATGTTACGACAAATTGTTTTTGTACACATAAGGGGGGTTTAAATTTACGAATAGCTAAGGCTTCAATAAACTTAAGAATTCGACCTTGACAATTTCTATACAACATTCTAAATGCTGTATTAATGTTAATTTTGTGCCCCGTCTCAATTATGTGTTTTGCTATTGATGAACTTGGTTTTCTACCTTCTAATTAACTGATCCTTACTAATTATTCATTGATATTTCAAAATGATCGAGATTATGTGTGCAAAATATTTGTGTACATTGTTCAATTTCACAGTAGTTTACGTCACAGTGATCCACTCACCACCAGGTCTGTTGTTGAATCATCACAGAAACTTTGGTTGAGAGATGATGTTTGTAAGTGGAATGTGTATGGTGAGATATATGAGGAGTTGAAGACACGTTCTTCAGATGTTTCTGGATGACAAGCGTGAAATGACGTCCATTTCAAACTCTCCATCAAATTGATGCTCACATCTCGTGTTCGTTTCATTCAAATGGCATCAATTGCATGAATGACATCAGTAATAAAACTTGCCATCCTTACTAACCATAAGGATACATATCATTGATAGAAAGGTTGTATATTATCCCATTGTTTATAATCTTGTATGAATTTTGATAAATCTCCGATGGAAAGGACCTGGAATCCTAGTTTACATTGCTGCTCACAACTATATCCATTCCATAAAACATTTGGACATATACCGTTCACTTGGATATGAGATTGACGAAATCATATTTTGTGCGTTTGATTACTGAACTATGTATGAAATAGATGTTAGATATGATGCTCAATAAATTGTGAAAATCAACACATGAATTTGTATTCTACTCATGTTTCAGGTGAAGACGTTTCTCAACTATGGGCATCGTACAATTTTTAGACCAATGAACTTTTCAAAATGTCATGCTTCAAAATGTGCAGTTATCACTGACATGAACAGATGGCGAGAAGCTGATGCACTTATACTGACAGAAGATAAAGTGCCAAATGGAATTCGACCTCCAGAGCAATTATGGTTTAGTTTAATAGAAGAGTCGCCTGTACATATTGCTATGGCAGGTACACTGGAAAATGAAGTGAGTAATTCTGACCATAGTAATATTACTAATCTTTATCATTTCATTACGGTTGTATGTAGCTGACGAGGACTACAAAGTGTGAATAGATTCGTGTTACTCAACGAATAATGTCACCATTCTTCATTTTGATCCACGAAATGGACTAATTGTGTGAAGTTTATGAGTTCCCATAAAACACATACCTATGCGTCGCTTAAACATCACTCGATTATTCATTCACCTCCAGGATCATTCACCAACCAATTAGCTTGTTTTCGATTAGCGAACGTATAATATGTACGCCTTCATTTAGATCAGTAAATACCATTTGATTGAAAATTTCTTCAATATGTTCAGAATATAGATATAAAGGAGTGATAGTCAAATGATACTCGAAGTATATTTTCATTCTACAGAAAACCGACAGTTTCCAAAATATTATTAACCACACTATTAGAAGATATTCTGATATATCTATGTAATATGCCACAAGGCATATTACCTGTAGTTAGGATTTAATAGGTACAGGTTGTAAACCCAAAATAAACTTAGACAGCATCGTTCTTTGGCTGCGTTCAAGACATTTTCGGGAGTTTACTTCATTCGAATCCTTATACTAACATTTATTTGTTAACAGTAGATTTCAATGTTGACGTAGATACATTGAACAAGTGATCTCTATACTTTGTTCATTATTCATTGTTATATATATGCCTAATATCCGCTTAAACTAATCAGTAAAAACCTGTCGTAAATACTTTCGACGTGTCATTTATGTCACCATTATCGGGACGATTTTCTATCATTTCGTTTGCATCTATGCAACTAATTGACACAAATGGATCCGCATAATGAATAGACTGTTAGAGATTTCGATTTGTCCACATGAATCATAGATGTCACTAATTACATATGTCATGTTTATTCACGAGCAAGACTAATCTACTTGTAAATATTCCTTTATTTTGGATACAATACACAAACTCTTACCTTTGAAAACCAGGAAGCACTGAACAGATATTTCATCTTAGTAAAGAACTCTTGAGCATTGTAAATACACCACCACACCAGTGGTTGTGATCAAAACACTCAGGTCTGTACCGTTAATCTATAATTCAAAACGACAAAACTAAACACTACCCACGAACCACTTTACTAAAACATTATTCTAATATCAAAACTACTAACTTGCTCATTCATTTCAATATCCATGATATCATTCCACCTGAATTTATCCCTCTGATATCAAGATTAATTACACTATCTCCTTCCGTCTGGATTCAACGATTTACTCACCATACGGTTCCTATGAGCCATACATGAAGCACCATGGACCAGAAACACGATATCCTTTACCTTCTAGAAACTTCGCTACTGGGAAATCAAAGAAAGTTGCATGGTTTGTGAGTAACTGTATGCCGTATAGTCCAAGAATGACATACGCCAATGAACTTTCACGATATATCCCGGTGAGTTTGACAAAGCTTAGCATTGAGTTTCTAAATGTTTTTCAATGATCTCAGTGAGACCAACAATTGATGAAAGACTAAATGCATACAGCATGAAGCATGCAACTATTGTCGCTCGGAACTAATTCGTGATGAGAGTGATTTTCATGTTATTAATCATATCTTCTGACATGATGATAAAAGTGATTGGAAAGTTGATTGGATCCTGTAGGTTCAAATGAAGGAGAAACAAACTTATAATGATTGGAATATAATGAAACAAGGTCTACTGAAATTGTCTTGATTGATTCAGAGCAATGCGTAAAGTATATATCATCAGTGTACTATTCCCACATCTGCACGATTGTATGTTCCATCATTGCGTTGACAACAGGTCTCCATCTCTGAAACTCCGACTTCTCGATCACGCATGCGTTCTCGATGGAGTTCAAGCACTGATTCTTTAGCAGTACCTACTTTCCAGCATGTAGCAAAATAGATAAACACATATAAGGCCCTCAAGCACTCAATCTTTAGCATTGCTCACTTTCACGGTCTTTTGAGCGAGGTTTCGTAGTTACTGATTGGTCATATACTGTTGATGTTTAACGACCAGTGAAGGTGTTTGATTTTATAACGATGTATGTTCATTACTAGAATTTATAATCAATATCACCAACTATGAATATTTGATTGTCTTTCACTTCATTGAGAATTTATCCTATAAATGTACAAGTTGGTTAGTCTATACATATAAACAAATGAGCATCCCAGAAATGTCAGGGATAGTGCTCAGATTGAAGATGATTTCATCGAATCGCCAGTTTGTAGGGAACTGTATCACTGGATCAATATAACTACATGTGACTATTCCTTAAACTGATCTCACAAGATTGCCAATCCAGGTATTCTTACACCATACTCATTGATCACTGACTTTTATGTCCAAGTGTTATATGCATGTACATGAGTGAGCTCACTGTGTTCATGATGGATATTTAGAAATGCTGGATACAGCAGTGCTACTGTTGATGTGTCCATAGTTATACCGAAATGGCTGTGCAGTGCTCTCACGTTTTCAATGATGTTCTAGTTTAGATCTGCTTACGAACTCAACTATTAAAATTTTAGGAGGAAACTGATCGTTTTATCAAACATACGCACAGTGAATTCGATGCGGTTACCAGCTTCATCATTAAAACATGTAATTTATCTGTTCCGTAGTTCACCGATTCATTTTCTATTTTCAGCTTGATATTTATGGTCATTGTGGCACGTTATCCTGTCCAAAGTATATTTCAACAGATACCTCATCAGTTAGTTGCTTGAAAATGATTCGCGAAAATTACAAGTTTTATTTGAGCTTCGAAAATAGTTTGTGCAGTGAATACATAACAGAGAAGTTGTATAAAAATGCATTGAAGTAAGTGGTTTGGTATTAATCTTGCATTATAGTGTAATCAAAGTCATTAATTTATTTATGTGTGCATAATCATCGTCTCAAATTGTCATATTATTTCAGAAAAACGAAATGAAATTGGCAGAGTGAACTGCAATGGATTACATTGATGTTGGTTTTAGTGATAGGCGGCAACTCATAGTCATCCAGCACTTACTTATTTACTTACTTACTTACTCACTTACGCCCGTTACCCTTCGTGGAGGAGCATATGCCAACCACCACCATTCTCCATCCAACTCTGTCGTGGACAATCCTTTCGAGTTCCCAATGTCCGAATGCGAAGTCGCACTGCTGGCTTTACAGAGCTGTGACAGCAGTAAGGTCTTTCCTTCACACAACCAGCATGACAGCGATGCTGCCTTCCCACAACGAGAGGTGGGGTTAGAAAAGGTCGACCCTAAAAATGCACATCTCGCCTTATCCCACGGATATCCGTCTCCGGCGGTAAGGTCTCAACAAGTACGGAGTTAACACAGAAATTAACCATAAAAAGGTCGTGTGTGACCGACCTCAAGCAGTTGTCCCTTGGGTACTGTGGTCACGCTCCCAGGTCACCAAGACCACGTCTAATCCAATTTCCTTTTCAGGTGCCTCCAGAACAACCCTTCCTCGGTGTGGGCAACCGGGAAGTGATAACCGCCCGCATAACTCTAACATCACTCAAGACCACTGTATTCATAATCAACCTCAGTCTTCACTTCCTATTATTTCTCCTACACCGACTTTCACCTTTAAGCTTCCTTTTTTGGCTTCCCTCTCAAGTGTCACTATAGCCAACGATTCTAGTGCTCAAAACACTGTCCCAGGTCTACTGAAACCTCGCTCCAAACTACACATTGGAGCCTTCAACGTACGCACCCTATGTCAAATCGGTCAACAGGCTTCCTTGGCTAGAACCCTAGAATCTTGTACCATTGATGTATACTGTGTCTCTGAAACACGCATACAGGATCCCAGTGTGGTCATTCACTTGACCTCACCTCGGCAAAACGGAGAGCCAACGAGATACACCCTCCGTGTATCTGGTGACCTGACGGCCAGTTCTCGTGAACTGGCAGGAGTAGGGATAGCACTAAACATGAGGGCGGAACAAGCACTGTTAGAGCGGATCCCCGCCAACAGTCGTTTATGTGCTGTTCGGCTAAACGGCTCCGTATAAACTCGGAGGGATAGGGACACACGTCATTGCATTTTTGTTGTTTCTGCCTACGCTCCCACCGACTGCAGCTCAGATGAAGTGAAAGATGAATTTTACAAAAAGCTATCTGAACTTCTTCAGAAAGCTAAACGTTCACACATAGTACTCGTAGCAGGTGACTTTAATGCCCAGATAGGTAGTTTAAACGAAACAGACAGGCATTTAGGTGGGTATTTTAGTATACCGGCACAGCGAACAGATAATGGTGATCGTCTGCTGCAACTATGCTCAGACAATCGTTTATTTTTAGCAAACACAAATTTTAAGCATAAAGAGAGACATCGTCTAACAAGGCGACCCCCTACATCAAACCAACGATGGACTCAAATAGACCATATTGCCATCAGTCATCATTGGAGAGGGTCGGTAGAAGATTGTCGTTCATTCTGGAGTACCTGCTTGGACTCCGATCATGCGCTAATACGGGCACGCATCTACTTGCGCCTCACTGGACGCAAAACAGCCACTGTAAAAAGACCCATTATAACTGAATTGAGTAGCGAGAAAACCAAAAGTAGGTTCCAGGAACAACTGAGGTCACAATTCGGTGGCTCTGAAAACGAGGTTGAACCAGATGTTGCTTGGAAAGCTATACAAACAGATATGGAAACAGCAGTGACATCTATCAGTGATTTAAACCACAGGGTTACAAAGAACCAATGGACTTCCTCAAGGTCTATTGCACTGATGGATTCTCGTAAACTCATCCCATCAGGCTCTGAACGCGATGAACAGCGACAACAAATCAGATCTAGGTTAACCAAAAGTCTAAGGAACGACCGTGAGCAGTGGTGGGCAACGAAAGCAAAAGAGATGGAAAAGGCGGCTCTACAGACTAATAAAAGAAACTGGAATTACTAAGTCGAGTGTACGTGAGACTATTTCGGAAAAAGACGACACCCTCATCTGTTCTCAGTCCAGACGTTTAGAACGATGGGCGGAACATTCCAGAGAACAGTTCAGCTGGCCCTCAGCTACTTTACAACTACCATACATTCTCAGACAGTGTCCCCCAACTCTAGCAGAAGTTCAAAAGGCTATAGTTAATCTGAAACGAGGAAGGTCAGCTGGTCCAGATCGATTGACTCCAGAGGTCTTTAAGGGTGGTGGTCCAATTTTAGCGATTAGGTTGACTACAATTTTAACTAAGATCTGGGAGTTAGACGTTATTCCATCTGACTGGTCACAATCACTTATCGTCCCAATATATAAGAGAGGGTTAAAATCATCCTGTGACAACCATAGAGGGATTAGTTTAACTAATATAGTATCTAAAATACTAGCCTCGATAATTATCAGACGCCTAACTAAGACACGTGAACTGCAAACACGAGAGAATCAAGCTGGCTTCAGACCTGGTTGGTCGTGCCTGCATCGACCACATATTCACCATTCGTCAGATTCTAGAACACAGGCATACTTATCAACGTCCGAAAATGGTGGTCTTGCTTGACTTAAATGCAGCATTTGACTCTATAGACCGCGATATTCTGTGGCAGTGTCTGTCATTGAAAGGCGTACCTCAGAAGTACATAAACCTTGTAAAGACTCTTACTCGAACACAACCAGTAGAGTCAGAGCTTATGGTGAACTGTCATCTACTTTTGCAACCTTAAGTGGTGTCCGTCATGCTGTCCGCTTTCTCCACTTTTGTTCAACTTCATCATAGACCTACTGATGGAAATAGTCAGTCAGTCAGTAACAACGTAGAACTTCGTACGTACGTAGGTCAGTTCGAGTTGCCATACCACATTAGCCCAGAGATGTAAATAACATTCTCGTCGACTGAATTCTCAGGTATTGATCTCCTTCCAGGAGGTCCACTTATCGACTTACAATACGCGGATGACATAGTCCTGTTTGGGGAAGTCGCTGATAAAATGCAGAGTCTTTTGGTAGCACTAAGCAACAATGCCAGAATGTTTGGGATGCGCTTCCCTTCCTCTAAATGCAAGTTGTTGCTTCAGGACTGGTCTGCGTCAACACCTGAACTAAGGATAGGGAGTGAAGTAGTCGAACGCGTTGACAACTTCACTTATCTTGGAAGTCTGATCAGCCCTAATGAGTTGGTGTCTGACAAAAATTCTGCACGGATTCGAAAAGCTCGTTTGGCTTTTGTCAACTTACGTCACCTATGGCGAAGGCCAGATATCCTTCTATTAATAAAAGGACGAGTATACTGCGCGACAGTCCGTTCTGTTTTTATTTACGGCAGCGAAACATGGTCATTAAGAGTAGAAGACACTCGTAAGCTACTAGTATTTAACCACAGATGCCCTAGAAATATTGCCGGCGCCTGCTGGGATAACCGGGTAAGTAATAGTGAGGTTAGATGCAGAGTATTAGGGAACAATGGTAACTCAGTTGATGAGATTGTGAATCTTCATCGACTGAGATGGTTGAATCGCGTGTTACGTATGCCCGAACAAAGATTACCACGACGTGAAATGCTGACGGGTGTTCGGGATGGTTGGAAGAAAGTTAGCGGCGGTCAAACCAAAACGTGGCATCAGTGCTTGAAGTCACTAACTTCTAGTCTGAGCCATGTTGGTAGATGCAGACTACTTGGTTGGGGTCCGCGTGACCATTGTAACCATTGGTTGGAGACTCTTGGTGACATGGATCAGAATCGATCACAATGGCGTCGGTGTATACACGCTCTGTCTTCCCTTAAACTAAGAGATTAAAGTGGCTTCATATCTTTCTTTCCGCGAACTAATTCTTTCTCCCTGTACTGTATCCTTATTGCAATCTTTCATAGATTACCACCTCTGAAATAACTAATTTTATGAATCCGGTGTCCACCTTGTTGTGTGAATGAGGTATGGCAACTTGGACCGATGCATATATGTGCCCGGTCCTACGTTGTAGCTGACTGAATGAGATTTCAATGAGGCCTTCTGAAGATGTTTAACAGAATATTGCACATAATATAAAGTGAGGGATCTAATGCTCAATACTCTGAATAAACTTCACATTAGAGAAGGGAGAATATGAGAAGTCCTTAATAGATCTTATTTGAACACGTTGACAGGTATCCTCAAATATTAAACGTCATAGTGCTCGATTAATTTTTTGTATAACTAGTCCCACAAAAATGTTATGTTCTATGGCCTGTCAAGTACCAGGCAACTAAAACGCCAGTTAAAATACTTATTTCTATGACATTGTTTCTGTGCTAAACCAATGATACTTCATGTAGCACTAGGAGCCCTGAGTCAAATATGAGTCCTTATTGGTCATCTTCATAACAAATTCTCACCGAGACCAGCTCGTCTAGTCCAGAACAAAGATAGCGGCCCCTACTATGTGTTTAAATGTTGTTGCAATATTATTAGAGGCCAAGTGTTCTCATTATGGTGAAGTCCTCACATTTAATTTGAAATCCTCAATGAAATAGAATAAACTAGAAATCTTGAATTAATTTGTGAATTATAATTTTTTGGTGTGTGTGCGTTCTTTGCTTAGTATTTCTAATTAAGCTTGCACTTTTTCTGCCTAATATATATCAGATATACGTGGTTTATATACAAGCAGAACAAAACGCATCACACTGTATTAAGAAAAATAATAATTACACGGGATCAAGCAAAATGTGGCTGTGATTGTGGGATATTGTAACAAATAAATTGAGAATAAGTTAAGAATGGTTGAACGTATTGCAGTAGCAAATACGTCAAACGAAACCTTATGATCAAAGTAACATAACCAAGCAAAAAGTGGCAGTAGACAACAGGTCAAACGAAACCTTATGATAAAAGAAACCTGAATGTACATAATATATATATAATCTGGTTACTTAATAATTATCTAATAAGAATATATGCAATATTAAATGGACGGTGGTTAGCAGTGGAATCCGCGATACGCGTTCCATCATACTCGGTGATCCTCAGCTAAATGTATCTGAATCACCCAGTTGATGTTCACTCATGGAATCGAACCCAGTACCGTGCGCCCCTAGATTCACTACTAGCCTCCATCCATCTCTGCTTATAATGCTTGAGACAAAAAGCAATATCGAGGCAATCTTCACAGGATACACATATGTCAATTAGAGACTAATCAATGTCAGTCATAAACATCAATGGAACGATTCAAACAAACAATACCAAATTCAATATGTAGTAATAGTCTATAAATAATTCCTAGCAGTTACCAATGTGTATTGAGCAATCATAGTCCATATGTTTCCATATCTGTCACGTCAAAATAAAACGGTGAAACTGGTTAAAACTGAAATCTCATCTCCATTGTTCTGTAAGTTGAAATTTTGACATTTTCAATGTATATATATATTTTTGCGAATGTTCACGGTTCACTTGCATGATGAGATTTCGATAAGTGTTTAACAAATTGCAAACTTATTATTCATTCCAAGAAACGATCTACTTCCAATTGTGATGGGTGCATCGATAGAGGAATATGAAAGAGTCGCTCCTCCATACTCGTTCATTCACGTTGATCAATTCGAATCACCAGCTAAACTGGCACACTATTTGAAGTATTTGGACGAGAACGATACTGCATATAATGAATATTTTGCATGGCATGGTCATGGAATCATACATGATTACGATGCCCAACCTCAATGTGCAATGTGTCTACTAGCTCATACATCTCATTCATTTGGTCCATATTGGGTTCCGAGTGTGGCACGATGGTGGAATGATGGATGTAATGGTCGGAAATTGCGTTGGAATCCACGAAACATGAATATTGAGAACAGAAACATTGTTTTATTGTAGATTGTATTAAATTGTAATGTACATAGTGCTTTCTGTGTTATAGATCAAATTACATTTGAAAATGGACAATATTTTACACATAATAAAAATACTGATATTTTTCATGAAAACAATTGCATAGGGAATGATTATGGAGAACATAATGCTGTACACTATTCACAAATGATTGTAATATGATGATGAGAAAGGTATAAATGTTCATAATAGAGAAGTATTGGTAAGGAAAATAACGAAAATTGGATTTGAGGGAGGGAAAGTATTATCTTTTCATATTAACTTTCCATTCTAACTTTCGACCAATTTTAATATCAATACCATGGGAATTAATAATTAACACCGTCTGAATTGTAGTTTCAACTGATTCACGTGAATATAAATGAGTTAATAATTGGACATAAGTAAATTTTAGTCAGTTGGTTAATGGCAAAACATAGTCGTGTAAATGAATGGACAATAATATCAAAGGGTTTTTTGATTAGACATGTATAGTTTCACAATTGATTGATCACTGAGTGGTGATCAATATCATGTGTGTCAGGTACTTCTTAGTGAGGATCGAATGATATCGACCAAATTACAATGTGGTCACCAGTCTAGGTGACTCAACATTGCGTGCACTATGTTGAGATAAGATGGTCAGATTGAAGAATCTGTGAGAACCCCTTATAGATGTAAATGTGATAATTTAAATGAATGATATAGAAAGGGATTATTTACTCGACGTAATATACGCTATGTGACTGAAGGGTAGTGATGTTACTTGGATGGCTAGAGAGTAGATCGTGCATGAGCGTTTCGAACACGTGACACAATGTCACTTATGTTGAGTAGGATATGATTCTTGTACTCAATGTTGACTAAACTACTAGAGAGACAAAGTCCTAATGCTTTGTCTGTTCTTTGTTCACCCATAAAATTCAAAATTTTGCAATGGCATCAAGTCGCTCAGTTCTGCATCACGTGAGTAGTCAAAAATGTGTGGAGAAAACAAGTTTCAAAAATCAATCTTCGTTACCTAGATAGTTATCGTGAATATGATACTCTTTGTTCTTTCTTAAAACATTTCTCTGAAGTTGTGTTACGTTTTCATCGTCTTCGTCAATTATAAATTAGAGTTTTACCTTCGTTTCCGAATAGATTTAAGATGACATGAATGGCACAATCGCTAGTTCAGGAAATCATAATTAAAACTACAGGCCATCTACAGAGAGACCAATGAGTGCATAAATTGTGACGAAATGGTCACTTATCAATCCTCTACTAAGTATCAGGGACAATGATTATATAGTTCACTTGAATATCTGACGATTGATTCGTCTCGTGATAACTGTTACATTGGTTTGGCAGTATAACATATATTTAATGAGTCTGGAAATTTTCCAAAACACAATTTCCCATGTGATTCACTGGAAAATGTTTATCACTTGAAAATGACACAATCTGATACAAACGTTCTTCAAAACCTCTCCTCCATCTATTTACGAATTATTTTCGAAAATGTCTAATTGCTTGCCAACCAATTAAGGGCGTGTAGTGACATTTTAGCTCAAACCTCACAACCCATCAATTGACGGTCATCAATTACATGACGAGTTCATTTATGACTGATGATTTTCTCGTCTCGTCATAACTAACACATATGACTTGCAGCACCACAGTTATTGATGGCTATCAGTGTAATCAAGTTTGGCGTGTGTTTCCTCCTATAAGGTACTCGTCAGCTAGATGTACCTGCACCTCAGAGTTGATTTTCACTCATCGACTCGAACACATTACCATTCGCTTCAAACGCCATCTCGTTATCCACTTGATAGCACTAATGCTTCCAACTTGTGGATAATCGTCAGTTGCTTACAACACAGAAACGAAAGCAACAGTTGTTCATAAATAATGTATATACATATGATAGTTATCGAAATACTTATCGGCTTTAAAACTCAGTCTCATTAGGAATTATCCAGAATAAGAAAAAATCACCTAATCGACTAACAATTCATAATATTATCAGAATGGGTTTTGTGGAGATTTTTAGAAATTTCGAATCCCACGGGGGGCGGGTTCGTGGATGCGCACTTCTGAGGAGTCCCATACTAGGACGAAACGGGCGTCCAGTGCTTCCAGGTTTTCCATGGTGGTCTAGCTTCAGTTGGCTCATGATTTCAACTTGCGAAAACTCATATATCACCTACACAGCTCACATACCAACATACATCCGTTAGCTCTCATAGAACATGGGCTACCGATCAGGATTAAAAACTCGTGAATGCTAAACAGAAATGTACAATAATGATAATGTATAATAAAAGTGAGCATTCTTGTGTAGACCATCTTGATAACAAACCCACAATGTTTCTTCTTTATGTGAATCAGGGAATTATTGATTTTCATTTGCAAAGTAAACAATACTGTCTCATTATATAAAACAAATGGGACTATGTATGTTTCACATAATCTATCTAATCATCAGCCGTACACACATTTAAACACTTTGTTTCGCACTTGTATTAGATGCCAAAAGTTCTTGTCAGCGTGAAGTTCCCGCATTTAATTTGTAAAGTCAAACGAAATACAATAAACTAACAATCTTGAATTAATTTGCAAATTGTATTTTCTTTGGTGTGTGTGTGTGTATGTGCTTTTCTTAGTATTTTTCAGTAATGTTGTATTTTATCTGCCTAATATGCGATTTCCTTCTTCTATTGTTACTTCGGAAGACTACTACATCATCAGGCTTTATATTGATCAACTCAAAATTATCGCCATCATGCGTTACAATACATACGACATCAAAGTTTAATTAATCCATTTTTTAAAATGAAAATGGTAAATTTCACATCGATCGACTTATAAATAGTACTACATTATCACAGGTGAGTTTTAGCCATTTACAATCAGCTCGTTTTGGTAATTAATATTTGTCACAGAAGACATTATTGGGATTTGTAAGTGATGACGTGATTCGGAGGTTTATAATATGGGGTACGTTCATTAAACACTTTGCGGTATCAGTGTGTGGTAACAATCACATTTTACTGGTAAAAGTGATCGCTTAAACAGACCAAAATATTCACTGCACCCACTAATAGTTTATATATTAAAAGTGTCGGATGGTTAAACAATCTGTATTAACACAACACGAAAATGTGATACGGATGCATGCAACTGTTTCAGTTTTTAGTTGACTCTTGATCTCAACTATTGAAATTACTAATATCTCCACAAAACCTCTTCTGATAAATTCCAGTGGTGTAAACTAGTTTACCTTATTTCAAACATCGTAGTGTAAAACATAATTCAATTGGTCATCATGTATTTCAACTTATTTTCCATTGTAGCGTATAACCAGTACATTAATTTCAATGACTCTGATGCTTGGTCACTTAGACTAGTAGTAATATTGTAACTCGATCGATGAAATTCGATCAGCATATGCTGTCGGCTACCACTCAGGGATCAACCAATTGTTGGCTCATTAATAGTAACTTCTCAAATGTTCAACCAGAGAAATGAGTGACTATGCTTGTATAAGGAGAAATATTTGATAACCTATTAAGCATTTAATTTGTCATATTGTCATCAACTATCCCACTATTGATGGATTTTAGGTGTTAACAGTCGTGTCACTTAGTTAATAATATTTGTCATTGAACCGTCATTTTGATACTCTGAAATTGTTTGTGTGAGCCATTTACTGATCAATATGCACTGGTTGAACTAACAAACAACTACTCTTATTGGATAGTTTCTCGAGTTAGGAATACTGTGTTAGGACATACACATAGTTTTTGATCAATTCAATACAAAGTGACAACAGAAGTAGAAAATCTTATATTAGGCAGATAAAATACAACATTACTGAAAAATACTGAGAAAAGCACATACACACACACACACCAAAGAAAATACAATTTGCAAATTAATTCAAGATTGTTAGTTTATTGTATTTCGTTTGACTTTACAAATTAAATGCGGGAACTTCACGCTGACAAGAACTTTTGGCATCTAATACAAGTGCGAAACAAAGTGTTTAAATGTGTGTACGGCTGATGATTAGATAGATTATGTGAAACATACATAGTCCCATTTGTTTTATATAATGAGACAGTATTGTTTACTTTGCAAATGAAAATCAATAATTCCCTGATTCACATAAAGAAGAAACATTGTGGGTTTGTTATCAAGATGGTCTACACAAGAATGCTCACTTTTATTATGCATTATCATTATTGTACATTTCTGTTTAGCATTCACGAGTTTTTAATCCTGATCGGTAGCCCATGTTCTATGAGAGCTAACGGATGTATGTTGGTATGTGAGCTGTGTAGGTGATATTATGAATTGTTAGTCGAATAGTAATAGTGAAATGAACAAGTCAATTTTTGTGGCTATGAAATGCTGCTATTCAAAAATGGGTTTCAACCTTGCATTTAAATTTTCAGCGTCAATATTGATGGATAGGTATGATGGAAAGTTAATATGAAAAGATAATACTTTCCGTCTCTGAAATTTAATCTTCGTTATTTTCCTTACTAATACTTCTCTGTTATGAACATATATATCTGATCACCATATTACCCCCAAACGCCCTGGTAGGGCCGGTAGTGGGGTGGGACCGTTCTTCCTCTCGAAATGCTGTCACACGGCCACGCGTATACAGCCTGTGCAAGGGAAGTCCTACTCACTGCCTTCTCGTGGTGGGGGTGTTATTTACGAAAATGAGAGGACGAAAAGCGAATGTCCGACGCTTTAACAGGATCCTCCCTAAGAAGTACCTGACACACATGATATTGATCACCACTCAGTGATCAATCAATTGTGAAACTATACATGTCTAATCAAAAAACCCTTTGATATTATTGTCCATTCATTTACACGACTATGTTTTGCCATTAACCAACTGACTAAAATTTACTTATGTCCAATTATTAACTCATTTATATTCACGTGAATCAGTTGAAACTACAATTCAGACGGTGTTAATTATTAATTCCCATGGTATTGATATTAAAATTGGTCGAAAGTTAGAATGGAAAGTTAATATGAAAAGATAATACTTTCCCTCCCTCAAATCCAATTTTCGTTATTTTCCTTACCAATACTTCT